TTTCACTAGGTCAATAAAAGAAGCCACCCTAAATTTTAATTATACAGCTATAAAAACAATCAAAAGAAACAGAAGTCTTGATAGTAACTCAGAGATGCTTAGCCTGTCAGTCATTTCTTAAGATGTGATGTTTAGAGACTGTGTGTGTGGATAATGTCTGTATGTATATACATCTATACATACTCAGAAGACATAAAAATATACAAAAAGATATATTATCGATATAAGTTAATGAGTCTATATTTGTCCCCCAACCTCCATTTGTGGTTCAGTCAAATATTTGTTGAATTCCTATTATACATTAGGTTGTTCACAGTGATTACTTACTCTCCCAGACAAAGAATTATGTTTAGCCAAAAAATATTTTAGACAAGTTATTCAGAGCCTCAAAAGTTTGCAAGACATTGAAATGAACATGTTAGGTTTAAAACAAGATGATTATAGCATAACATAGAATTTTCTATCACCATGTGCCAGGCACCGATCTAGGCAATGAAGACAGAGCCGTGAACAGGGTAATGGTCCCTGCCATTTTAGGGCACATTAAGGGAATAAATATTTAACATTTAACATTAGGGGATAAATATTAGCAAATAAAGAGAAAGAGCCAATACACAAACCATGCTGGCCTCACATGCTCTAAAGTGCTTTACAATTATTATCTTATTTAATTCCTACAACCTTGTGAAGTCAGTACTTTTACCATCCCCGCTGGATGGAGGAAGAAACTGAGGGGCAGATTGCCTTGTCAACGGTCGTAGAGCCCAGCCCCCGGCTCTAGATGCCACACTTGTAACCTCTTTGGTAGGCTGCCTTTCTGCACCCAGAACAACAAATGTGAATTTAATTTTCAGTTGTGGTAAGCAGGGGAGACAAACGGCATGAGTATGATAGGAAAGCAAAGAAGGAGGAACGCCTGCCTTGGGATCCTAACACACAGGTCAAGAAAGGGCTGCCTTTCTACTCAGGGATCAGAAACAATGTGACTTCACTTCTGCTTTTACTTTTTTCTTTTTTCAGTCACCAGTTCCAGTGACCCCCAAGAGCATCGAACGCACACATCGTGAGACATTTTTCAAGACACCCGGCAGCCTTGGAGACCCTGTCCTGAAGAGAAGAGAAAGGAACCAGTCACGAAACACCAGCTCGGCCCAGAGGAGACTGGAAATCCCCAGCGGCGGGGCTGACTGACCTGCTGCTTTGCCAGGTCGGGGAGGGATCAAACGCCTTGAGAGTCCCGGATGTCCGAGACGGAACGCAAACCGTCCCGGCCTGAGCATGGGTCCCTCCTCTCTCTTGCATCCACACTTCTGTTAACTTCCCACCATCATCAATCATCTGATTTCCTGAAAGTAATTAATTGTGCATTTAATACCAGTTAGAGTTCCGACTCTCTGCATGGTGTCACAGTGAAAGCGCCGACTGACTTGAATGGTTTTGATTCAAGAATCGTCTTATTGCTGGAAGTAGATCTGAATAGGCTACCGGAGCCTTGTGGTTTTTCTAAAGAGGGGCGCTGTCTAGCACTTAACTAGGGTAAGCATTCTTAACATGTATTTCCACTTACCCTGAGTAAATCTGTGGTGAGAGAAGCTTCCTTTCTGCAGTTTAAAAAAGCTACTGCTTCCTTAGGCTTTATCAGGAAGCCACCTTCAGTTGTGAATCCTATGGTATTATTTATTTTGTTCCTGAAATGGGATTTAGTGCAAAAAGTTTACAACTACAGTCTTTAACACATTTTTTTCAGGGTATGACGACTTGAATGTTTGTACTTTTATTCTATAATTTGCCCTGCACTTATTCTACAACTTAGTAATAATGTGGATAAATGTATCTACATGACACATGTCAAGACCAAAATAACTGTGAATGACACACCTTGCTGTAAATGAACTGTGCTAACCCTGACTGTGGGCATGAGAACAAAGATGAACTCTAGAACTCTAGCAGCCTAACTGCTGCTTCTCAAATAACTGTGTGAACAGTGAGATATTACTGTTTGTTTCTAAAAATCCTACTGTGCCCAGTTTCCTTCACTACATGCCCTGCGTTTTTTATTTAAATGTTTAGCTGTAGAGCTATCAGATATGGATGTCTTCTAACAATCGCTGTTTGTAAAAATCAGGATGGTAGAAAGTGATTACATGGGAAATTGGAACCTGGATGAGACCTTTTCGTTGAATTCTGAAGAGTAATTATGTGAAAATTGATATAGGGCAAGAGATGATTCTTTTGTTTTTCTTCTACTTCATGTGCGGAAGAGTAAGAGGGAAAATGGACATATGTTTCATAACCAAGGGTATTCAAACCGTAGTTAGATGGTAACTCTGAAAAATAAGTATGGTGAGCACAGGGGTTGGTTGTTCTAGCATGAATACAATTTTGGAAGCTGTTATGCAATTGCCCTTTTTTAACCCACGTTACTTTAGGGGTGCATTAAGTAGCCAAACTATACTAGTTCTTTGTATTCCTAGACTTGCTGATATTTACCTCTCTCTTGTCTCTTCAGAGAACAAGGGAGCCATTCTTTCCCTCCTACTTTCCTTCATTCCCTCTTCCTTCCCTCCTTCCTACTTCTTTTCTTCCTTCCTTCTTCCTCTCTTAAAACTTCTATCTTAGATGTAGAATCCTGGTGTAGGGTTTTATTTTATTTTTATTTTTTGACCCAATAAAATGTTATATGAAAGAATAAAAATATTAATTTAAGAGACTCTGGGAGTCTGAATAAAGTAGCTTTATATTAACTACAGGATAATATTAGCCTTATTACCCCCACAAGATTTTTTTAAACTTGAGGTAGGTAGCTACATTAAATAAATTTGCTACTTATATAAAAATTTTTATCAACACTAAACTTTTAAAGTTTACAAGATTTTTTTTTTTTCCTTTTTTACAGTCTTCTATAGAGTTAGGTTAAAAATGTGGTTTTTAACCACAGCAACAATTGCATGGTACTGATGATCCTGAACTAAAACTGATGGGTTCTCTATCAATCAAAACAAATAAAAATATACCTTTTTCAGGTTTCAATCTGTGCAGGGTGTATGCATTTTAACTCTTCCATGCTTAAGAACTTCCACAAAATATTTCATGGAGAGGTCTGCATTTAGATGGAAACACAAATTACTTTTCCCCTCACTGTTCCTGAATGCTGTATACTTGTTTTAACATTTTTGCTATTTTTTTATTCTGATCATGATATAACCATCTTAACCTCAGAATTCATATTTCTTGAGGGGTGTTAAGAAGCAGTCCCATTGGTGAGGATATTATGACTTGGTGACCATACTTAGGAATAGAAAACCAAGCACAATTGCTTCTGTATTCAGTATCCACTTAATGTGGCTTTATATGTAAAAATAATAATGCAGTGGTTGTCAGGAAAATGAATCTTACAGAACAACTGGTGGAATTGAAGCTGCTGCGCTAGAGTTGGATATTTTGGGTAGTGAAGAAGCAATGGCAATCTTGAGTCTATTATTGTATAACTTAGTAAAAGAAAAAAATAATTGGTGGTGGTCCTACTAAGAGAATGCAGCTTTTTTGAGTTGTCACAGAGGCTGTGTGTGCCCTACACTGACCAGGGTTTGTAAAACCCTTTCATTCTGGTACAAGAGTCGGGGGTATAACTTTTATACTTGAATCTACCTACCAAGTTTACATTTCTCAATTCCTTTTTGTAAGGTGCTATTTCTGTATTTAAATAACTTTCTTTTAACGTAAAGCTGCTTTCTGCTTATCTTATTGCACTGCTAGTTGTATGTAGGTATTAATTTTATTGCTGCTTACTGCTTTTGTTTTCTTATTATTTAGCTCTGCTCTTTTTCCTAATGGCTATATTATGTATAGCTATTTACTTGTAACTGTACTACATGTAAACTGATTTTTTTGTTCTGATTCTTTTCTAATATTTTTAGGAAAATATTAAGCTTTATAAAATAGCAATAAAAAATAATTCATTTAAGAAGAGATGGTGGTTGTATTTTTGATAGGCTTTTTTTGCATACTGTTTTGAGTAAAACCATTAACAGCTACAACATAGCCAACCAGGCCCTCATAAATGTAAGTCAGATCTTTTTGCTGACACCACCCCGTGGTTACTAAATGCTGAAACTTACTGCATCAGAATTTCATGGGAACTTGCAGGGGTTGAGGTACTGTGTAATTGAGCTTCTGATTTCTACTAAGTCCCAATCTTTGTAGGTTTGGAGCTTCCAGATGATTCTGATGTTTATCTAATCTAGGAATCACAGGTAAATGCAGACCACCCCTCAACTTCTTGTGGCATCCATTAAGTCAAATGCTTCTCAGTGTAGCTAATGCCCACCTTTCACTGAAAGCCAATTTCTATTGTTAGCCCTCACTTTTAAATTGACCTGCAAGCAGACTTAATCTGATGTCCCCTAGCTCTTTATGTCCCCGGAGTGATCTATGTTGCACTGTTGTCGGACTCCCCTGCTAAATTCTGAGGTGACACTTGGAGATGTTTGAGCTGATTCACATGGAGAATTCTTCAAAGGCCTCATCTTGGGAGCATTTGCCTGAACTGTGATGCAAGCAATACATATTCTTCCAGCTGCAGCTCTCCCTCTGCTGCTGGTTCTCCTGCCGTCCATTCCACACAGACCCTTGGGCAGGATTTTGAATGGTCCTAGTCTGACCCCGATGGGGTTAAGTGAATCATGGCAGTGGTTTCCCCCATACTGTACTCATGGTAGAGAATAAGTTTCATGAAATCTGATGGTCTTTTAAGAGGAAACCCCTTTCACTTGGCTCTCATCCCCTTTGGCTGCTGCCGTGTAAGGCGTGCCTTTCACCTTCTGCCATGATTGTGAGGCCTCCCCAGCCACATGGAACTGTGAGTCCATTCAACCTCTTTTTCCTTTGTAAATTATCCAGTCTCAGGTTCATCTTTATCAGCAGCATGAGAATGGACTAATACAGGCCCTATCTCTTATCAGCCACATCCAGTGATCTTTACCTTGATTCTAGGAGAGAAAAGCCAGCCAAACACACAGGCTTCTCCCTCCCTCCACTGCCAAAGCTGCTGGCCCACTCCCTTAGGTCCCCTAGGTGAGTCAGACACCAGAGCATACCTCTCACTGCAGGAAAGAGCTGAGAGAGAAGCATCACCCTGAACACCTCCCCTTATTGGCTCGTAAGTGGCAGAAACGAAGAATTACAGCATAACTTCAAGGAGATCCTCACTATATCCATTTCTTTTTCCATCCCTTCAACCCTTTCACAGACTTGTAGGTGAACGCATTCAATACTTGGTTCACTAGTTTTGTAAAACTTCCTCCATCAATCCTGCAGAGTCCAACACCTTTGGAATGCAGCATTTCCTGTGACTAGGTGCTGTAGCCAAGCTTCCCATTCAATCTCCTGTTACAATAGTTATAAGCTGCCATTGTCCAGGATTTACAGTTACGGCACTCCATATTTCACACTTATCAGAGTAACTTTTGACAGCTATCGATTTGTTTTTAGTGTGAAAATCAGTTTGATTAATTCGATGTCCTTTTCTACCCGAAAATGCTTCTGAAATTAATAAATCATACCCAAAGCTAAAATTATTTTCAGATTTTCATTCTCTTACATCAAAATCCTCTTTTTGTAACTAACCCACTGGTAGTCTTCAATTTGACTGTCTCTTCTATCAATGTAGAAACGTCCAGTCTTGCCCCCACTGTGCTCTGAAGAACTCAATATTCTTAATATTAAGATATTAACTCAATATTCTTCATAGTAAGAATCAAATAAGTGGATAATACTGGTAAAACAGTTTTTTTTTACTGTAAGATTAGAGACATAAACTTATAAGAGGAAATATACATTCAAGTTTTTTAACTGGTTTGATTATGAGACCATTTTTTCTTAGACTGTCTTACAAGCAGCAGAAGATACTCCAAGAAGCAAAGAATCCCGTAAGCAACCCCTAAAATTTACTTACTCTTCACTGAAAAGAAAAACAATATTAGCTTCGTAAGGGCAGAGCCCCTAGGTGACTTATATCCATATTCACCATACCCACCACAAAATGTGTACCCAATACAAAGTTGGGGGGAAGAATACGGGATGGATGAGTTAGCACAAACATTGTTTTTTAAAAACCTTAGAGGGCTCCTTCATTGCACGGTTCCGCGTACATAGCTTGTTTGTTTTGTTTGTTTTTGTTGATTTGTTTTAGTTTAGAATGGCCTCCACAGCATCACCAATGTTCATAAAACAAAATTAATCATGATAATTGTGCATTTAAACTTTTTTTTTCTGAGATGGAGTCTCACTTTATTGCCCAGGCAGGAGCACAATGGCACGATCTCGGCTCACTGCAGCCTCCACCTCCCGGGTTCCAGCAATTCTCCTGCCCCAGCCTCCTGAGTAGTTGGGACTACAGGCGCGCACCACCACGTCCGGCTAATTTTTGTATTTTTAGTAGAGACGGGGTTTCACCACGTTGGTCAGGCTGGTCTCGAACTCCTGACCTCGTGATCTGACTACCTCGGGCTCCCAAAGTGCTAGGATTACAGGCATGAGCCACCACGCCTGGCCTCTGCATTTAAACTTTAGCGGCATGACATGCAGCGTTTTCCTCTTAGGCATGCCTTTCCAGTTCCTACAGAGTCTACCCTGGCTCTCAACTTGCCTGCCAGCTATGCAAGATATTGCCTATTGACCCTCAGCATTGATTTTCACTCCTTTTCTAAGTTTTTTTAATCACAGGGGCAACAAGGCAGGTAACTACAGTTCCCACATTCCCTTGCTACAGATGATTTTGTTAGTAAAATAGACTCATGCAAGATTTGGTAGATAGAAAGGAAGCTGAGGCTGTTCTCCCTCTTACAGTAGAAGCAATTCATGCACAAATTGCAGCAGGCTCAGTTTTTGCAGCAGCCATGCTTTATTCTACTGTCTAGTCCAGAACTGTGTATCAGTTGTGACACTGGCAGTGGTTTTACACTGTTCCCAGCCATCGTGCAGCAGCAGCATTTGCCCCATCCTCTGAGCAGCAGCCATGGCGGGCCAAAAACACTTCACAACAGCCCCTTAATTTCCACTTTCCCTTCCCTCCTACAATTGTGTAAGCACCTAATTCCCTGTATTAGAACCTTCCTGTTAGAAATACCTAGAGTGTTTTCTAATTTCTACACAGAACCCCTCAGTGCTATCTCCCACCTCTACTCCCTTCTTCTCCCCACTCCTCTGCCCATCCTGTCACTCTACTCTTGGTGATCACATTCTTCATCTTATTTTATTCATCCATGCCTTAGTGCCAGCCATTCCCTTTTTCTAACATGCCCTGCCACCCCCATTTCTCTTCTTCTGTCAGGCTACCTCATATGCATCTTCCCAAACCCATTTCAAATGCCCATCCTTCAGAAAGAAGTTGTTTTCCTCACCCCATTGTGAGATCCTTCAAGGCAGGAATTCACTTTTTCTCATGTAGGGCCCGCATTGGGCTTAGTATATGAACAAATAGTCAACCATGCTGAAAAGGATACATAATAGTGCACCCTGACTTATTAGAGTAGCTGTGGTTTAATATGCAATGGCAACATGAAAATAGTGAGTACAATAAACAGAAGCTTCTCACCAAAATCAAACATTTTATGCATAGCCCTACTGCACCATAGTCATGCTAATTATTTATTTACTCAATAAACATTCATGGTTCCTATGCAAACAGAAGCAGCCTCGGTGGGAGGGCATTCTACCCTCTTTTTTTCTCTTTAATAATGGTAGAGAACTCTAGAAACTTAATGCCCAATGGAACTTTAAACATTGTCTTATTTGTGCACCTATTTTACAGGGAGGAAATAGAAACAAGGAAATTAAGTAACTTTTCCTGCATTATACAGTAATTTAACCACAAAGCTGAGACCAGAGCACAAAACTCCAAATATCCCAGTCCTGCACACTGACCCCTATGCTATGCCACTTACCAAACTAAGACAAATTGTTTTAACAAAATGTGATAGGTGTAGTCCATACAAACCCATCCACACAATTCTCAGATTGTATGAACTTTATAGACGACACATTTCTATGTGCAGGAAGTTGTAATTTTATTATGCAGACAGCCGTCTCTTTACACAATACTGCAAGACCATAAAAACAATCATGCAAACTGAAAGTGTGCAAAGCAATCTTCTCCTATGAACTGGTCTTGAAAGATGCTTATTAGATTGCTAGGTGGGAGGCATTTTAAGCCAAGTGACTGCTGCAAAAGCATGCATGCATAATTGCAAGTGTTCTGTGACCTCTTAAATTTTTATCAAGATATTAAAAATTCTCTTACTGTTGGCTATAGAGAAATGAAAAGATATTAAAACTAATATTTAGCATATAATTTTTAATATTAGAGAGATTGAAAATTAAAGTGTTTTATTTCTTTGTAAAAACTTATCAAGAGCAGCTTGAAGAGCACTTACCTTCTCATCAGCATATAACTTATGATAAGTACTGAACATCTTTTCTATGCCTTGGGGAATTGTCATGTTCCTTTCTAAGTTTGGATCAGCTTCCAACGTTTTATCTTTTGCACTTTTGATTGCAGAAATATCTCCAAGAGTTCATTTAATGGATAGTGTTTTGCAGACATCTCTTTCTCTGGGACACCTTCATTGTTTTCATCACAGCCATTTGCCTCACAGGTTGATACATTTACCCTCATTAAGTTTCCGTAACTGCATATCTACAGTTTCTCATATAGTGCTTCACTTTCATCTTTACTGGCCAACTCTGTCTTCTGATTATTCATTTTATTAAATGTCATGTGTCTATCACCAGGAAACAAACAGGCAACATTACTCCAGCTTTGCTGTCTACATGAAGAGAGACTTTGAGCATCAACAACAGTCTTTGAAATAAATGACATGATTGCTTGTTGGTCATGATGGGCATCTGTTATTTATGTAGAGAGGGTATCATAGTAACTAAAATCTGAACCATGTTGTTAGAAGACTG